CGGAATCTTGGCTCCAGTTCCCCGAGATGGTTTGACAGACATTGGGGATATTTTCACCTAGTGACTGAGACTCTGTCCTTTTTGTATCAGTCTTAAAAAGGACAGAAAGTGTGGTACAGACTGTCGTCACTAAATGAGCTGGTTCATCAATCAGCGCCGTAAGACTCGAAAACAGGAGCTGAAGGCACGCCTAATGCATACTGCTTGTGAGCTTGAAGATGCCGGAACTCAAAGTATCCTGCAAACAGGTTGACTAAATAAAGACTACAACGTATTAATCCAGGAAGCAGGTTTTCACATACCTTTGAATGCGACTGCGGAACCATCGCGGTATTTCGACTGGCAGGAAGACTTTGTGTGATGAGTCTCCGTCTGGCTATTTTACCTTCAGGCTATGTGCGGCAGATGAGAGATATCTTGCGGGTCTTCAAATGCCTGAGTAACGTATCTAGCTCTGGTCTCAAATAAGACAAACTGCACTCGTCGAGGTAACGTCGAAAGTAGCCAGACCATTCAAAAACATCGCTAATGTGGACTAAGCACATTATCGAGCACCCTTTTTCATTAGCTAAACGTTGCTACGTTAAATCCAACGTTACCCCCTCGCCGAAAACGAACCTGGGGCGACGAGGCCTATCAGACTACAGAGGAGAGGTGTATGTCCTCAGTATTCAGAAGTGGCTGTGTGACCATAATGCCTGAACTCACCGGACGGACTTATGGGTGGTAGCGCAGGGAGACATTCTGGCACGATCAATGTCACCAAACGTCATGCATATCAGGAATTAGTAATTTGGTTAGCGGACGGGACAGCACTTCTGGGGCCACTTACTCGCGAAAAGTAGTAAGGTTCGCCCAAAGAAACACCTTACAGTATGACGGCCCAGTTGCAATAGATGTTAGGAAGTCAACGAGTAATAAACAAATCCACCTCAGTAAAAAGGGAATGATTACCTCGAAATGAAGACCTCGGGATATACGCGACTGGATTCCATTTGCTTTTCTCCATTTACTGGAAGGTCACCATCAACAGGGAAAACCTTTATGACTGTGCCCTTGTGCGTCTGAAAGACTTCACCATAAACACCCTCACCTATCTTCACGATGCTCTCTAACGTCCTAAAGAGGCAGGTTAGAGAGGATAACAAGGCATACTCAGCATCAAAAAAGGAGGAGAATGACCGCGTCTCAGTTTGACCACACAGTTCCAGGAGCTTTTCCTTGGGATCCCCCACAATGGATTGGCTCTGAAAATGTTAAAAACCAAAACTCGTGTTGAATATAAGCACGATAAATGCCACTAATACATTCGTGGTATAAGTGATCTTAGTCGACAGAACAATAAAATAAAAAGGCTAGTATCGGAAAAATGCAGAGCAACCCACCAAAAAAGATTCCTCATGCGCATACGAAGAGCTCAAGTCTGAGTTTTCAACGACTTCTTCAACATCAAACTCGATCCTCCGGGCATTAACCCTCTTCAATTTTGCCGCCTGATCTTTGCTCGGAGACCGAAATCGTCTTGGGGAAAAGATAGGGGTAAGTTCGACCTGCAGGGCCTTGTCTTTTTCTACGAAAGACTTATCGAACGCGACCTGATTTTCCTCGTCCGAGGAACCATTTGTTGGAACATTTTCCTTTGGAGATGTCATAGTTGCAATACGATTAAAATGATTAGGGGGGCTGTAAGACCCATTGAAACTCCGCAAGCGTGCTCGGATGTTTGGGGTTGAGGGACTGTTTGACGCCAAACTCGGGTCAAGTTTGAGATGCCTCCGGTCAACGCCATTCGATTTAAAGTATGATCGAGTGCGGACTCGGGCCGTTGTCGTTGCTGCCGCGTTAGGAACACGGATGTTCGAGTTGCGTAAACTGATCCGATAGCGCTTCGGTCCCTCAGAAAGTTCCGAGAATCTTGTCCGTTTTCGGGTATGTGTGACATTGTTTTGCGTCCCGTCACTAAGGTTACAAGACAATAGTCGCTTTCTTCTCGATATGGAGTTCAGAGGACGTTGATCAACTGTCGCATGCGGCATTATCCGCGGATGCTTAAAGATCGTTAAAAAACATAAATGTACCTTTGGCAAACACCTATCACTAAGAAACTTCAGTCCGTAAAAGCAAGATATTTTTCTAAAGAATAAATAAGATCCCTCCACACTTACGCTAACTTCAGGAGGTCAAATACTGCAAGGACTAGGCCATTCTTCAAAAGCATGTAGAAAACATCCCTGAACACGGGCCAGGGGAACCAGCAGCCAATCGCGTTGCAGCCTTTTGAATTTCGATTCACCTGACGCATTTTCTATTGGCTGTTGTGGGATGAGGTTTAATATACACTACGTTAAATCTCGCGCTCTAAACTGAGGAAAATTCAATTTCTATTATGTCTAGCTTTCACATACTACCTCAACTGGATTAGACCCCTGCAATGAAAACTATTCCAAGACAGCTACAATTTGTAGTGTCCAAGTGCCTTTATGTTCTAATGGCTTACTCGATAGTTAATCCTGCAATGGTCAGAAAAAAACGACATCTGTGGCAGCACATTATATGATTGGTTTTAAATTAAGTACTACACAACAAAACGCGATTCTCCCACGAAATTGCGTGTTTTTAGGTGTATTGCACGTTTTCCTATAACAAAAGGCATTTTAAGTAAACCGTTCTGATGTTCGTTAGAACTCAGCGAGGGCTTTCTTGCTGCCTGTTTTACAGCGCCGTATGGCAGTTACTTCCTGATGTTAACTGACCGTAACAGGACAGCCTTGTTACTTTAACGCTAATCAGACCCGGACAGAAATCTGAAGGCTCGAGTCCAACCAACGGCGTAATTACCTGTTGTCCAACACACGACGGAGTCCCATGACTTTTTTTTAGCATGATGAAGGCTGCCCATTATAATTATTAAACACAGGGTAACTGTAAGTTGCAATACAGTTTAGTGACCGCT